TTTTTAGGTTACTTTGCATTAGCGGTTTTGGAGTTCTGTTTGGATTTGTAATCTAATCGAGGAACCCGAGCCCTAATGAAAAATTAAGCCTACAGCTAGAAGGTGAAGCAGAAAATGCTTAGCCTCACTGTTATGCCAGCACAGATATTAGTTGTTTAAAGCAGATACAAGTAAAAAGGAAGTAGCTAGTTCTTTCTAGATTTTATTCACAATGTGTGTCATGAGTTGACTGAGTAGTTGACTTGTGGACCTGTCAGTTTACATTGTGGTGCGTTACCACAGTGCACTTATTTCATGGACGTGCTTTGTCCTGGAGCTAAAATTTTACTGAAATTTACCAGTATTATTTTTATTAGTGCTCATTCCAAACTGTAGGCTTCCTAGTTCAGTGAGGTCTGCATGCTAGTAACAATTAAACCAGGAGAATGACTGGATTTCCACAATGATTTCCACACTGAATTTGTTCTGCCTGGCCAACAAGGACTTCCTACCTGCCTGGAGTGGAAGCTCAACTGTCAGAAAAATCAAGCAACCTTTTCTATTTTATGTTATCCAAAATCAAGAATAGGAAATTAGCCCATAGTCTCCTGACCAGGTAGCAGAGCATGCTCTTTCATTTTCTGTTAGTTTTAAAGTCTCCAGTAGTATGTTAGATATTATAGTCAATAAGTTATTTGGATAGTTTCAACTCTTAGTGGAGAACTAGTAGAAGTAATATTGAAGCATCACATCTTTAACTTTAGTCAGATGATAAGCATCAGTCAAATGATAAGTATCAGTTTTTAATTTTTTTTTTCCAAGTTAAAGCATTCTCTAATATGTTTCTCCATCTTTACATAGAGGATGTTCTTTATTGGCAGTGGGGAAATTTAATACCCTAGGCAATGTGGAAGAAGCCGTAGTGGCTGCAGCTCTTTGCCTAATGTAGATATCTTTGCCTAAATCAAACAAATAAGAAGTTGAATTATTCCCATTATTCATCTATTTAGTAAAATATGAAAATATTTAGAAAAAGTTTCAGGTTTATCAGCCAGTAAGTTTTATTTTCCATACAATACCCACATTTAGACATGGGTCTTCACTTGAATCAAATTCCCAATTTTCTGCCCAAACTGTTTATAATAAAGCTTTAGGTCATGCTTTCTTCAGGGTAATACATCTAAGTGCATGCTACAGGCATTTTTCTGTGAGAAGTGAAGGTGTAAAATGAAGAGAACTGGATTTGTCTGAGAAGCTGCTAACCTGCACTTGCGTAGGCCCCTGTATATATTGTCGTGTAAGTCCTTCTGCACTACTTACTTCCCTTGGACTGGACAAAAAGCTGAGGATGTGCAATGGTGGCAGCTGAGCCCTTGGTGCAGATGTTCCTGCAGTAGAGTGCTCTTTTCCTGCTAGCCCAAGGATGGGAATCTTTGTGTGGAAACAGGCTTTCCTGTGAAGTTCTATATTCCAGTGGATTTCTTGCACAGATGATGTTGAGTGAGGGCCCAGTAAGTCTTTATAGCAGTACCAACTGCAAACTTGTTTCACTACTCAGCTGTGACCAGACTCTTCCTTCTGACTTCGCTTATTATTTAAGCTCCAATTATTTCCATATAAGTAGTGAATAATCTCTCATTAACAAAACTACTTTTTTTTTCCCTTCCCTGCCTCCTCCTCCACATCTGAAACTCAGCCTGCAGTTGGCAGAACAGAAGATTATGGCCTGTAGATAATCCAGGTTTTGCATGTAGATGAAACCTCATCAGGAGCGTTGTTAGAATCAGTAACAAGAGACCTGCAAACATCTCAACTGTTGGGGGATGTTGGGGAATGGAGAAAGGACGGAGGGTGGGGGGAGTTTGGGGACTGTCAGTTTATATTTGCCTGAAATGCCTGCGTGCAACAAAAGAGCATCCAGCATGGCATTGAGCAATCAATTTGGAGCATGACTCAGTGTGGAAAAATGCTACCTACTGAATTTCTAGCATAGTTTTCCTGAATTGAGGCCTTCTTTTAAAGCATCATCTGAAGTCTACAAAGCGGAGGTGCTCAAGTCTTCACAGGGTAACTGAATACAGTGTCACTGCATAGGATCAGAAGGATGGAATAACTAATGTTTAATTTGTGATGCTGTTGCTGCTAATGTGGATGTTTTTGTAGCCTTGCAAATAGGATGAATAAACATGGAGGAAAGAATTAAAATTGGGGATTGACATTCAGACATGTAAAAATGCGTAGCTGAGCCAGAAGGACTGAAGAAGGTGGATAATATTGTTCCTTTCTGTCTTGCAAGTTTTAAAACGAATAGTACTAAATAAAGCGAGTGGATTTTTTTCCCCTTATTTCACAGTTAGGATTTACCAGCTCAGAGCTTTCAGTCACTGCCTGAACAGTCTACCTTCTGTTTTGAAACAGAGCAACTTCTGTTCATTAGAAACAGTCAACAATAAATATGAAGAAATTTTCTGCAGTTTGCTTTGGAACTTGGTGGATCGGGTGTTATGGATACAACGCTTTTTTTACAAGGAGTGGCAGGAAAGTAATACAGTGGTTTTTGTTCCAAGAATGTTGCACTGAAAATTAAGAGACTGAAGGCACTATTCAGAGCAGATTATTGAGACACTGTTTTTAGCTTTCTTGTTCAATTGTGAAGCATCTGGTTGGCTGTTATTTTATTAGCATTAATTAAGCAGTCATTTCAGTAATGATTAATGACAGCTTGTAATTTTCTTTTAACTGACCTGATCCTCCTTTTCTTATTTAACTGTAATTACTTGGAAAGTGACTTGTAGCTTTAGCTATAATAACTGAGTCGGTAACTTTGTGTTTGTTTTAAGTTAAATGAAGTAGGTGAATGCAATTCTTGGACTTGTGTCTCAGATGTTTGGTGTAAAGCAACCAACTGCCCTAGACATGAGAATATATAACTGGGATGATAAGTTCTCTGTATGGAGAAGAAAGAAATGAAAACCATTTTCAAAGCTCCAGTAGTCTTGGCATGAATGTGTAGTGATTTCTGAACTATAGATCTGGCTGGGAGAGTAAGTGTATGTGTGTGGGTAGGTGGGTGTGTGGGTGTTTGCAAAAAGGAAAGGGAAGTCTGGGTAAAATGCAATAATTAAGAGTTCTCCTTTTTGCAGACATAGGAAACTCTTTTTAACTTTGTTTAAAAATTATACAGTACCTATTTTTTAAAAATAAGCTATTTTTAAGAAGTAATGGTCATAGACATACATTTAACTGTTAAGAGGAAGAAATTGGATGAAACATAATGTTGGCATGTCTGACAGTTTTTTGGTCATCTGGATAATCTTGCATTACACCAGTTTTTCTCTCACATTCAAAAATTGTGTTTTCCTGTAGTGAATAAACACTGTTTTGTTTGCTTATTTCTGAATATACTTGTGGCACTTATTCTTGATTTCCTTAAAGGGACTGGTAGCTTGGAATGTGAGGAAGTTCCTGAATGTATGTTCTTATTCTTGAAATATTTCACTTAATTGCATTAAAATAACTTTCTTGTAAAGTTATTCCTTTGACTTTACAGGTATTTTTTTTTGTGGGTGAGGGTTGTGCAGAAATAGTGTTCTTGCTCTGCAAATAGGAGCGTTCGGCTTTTGAACTGGAAAGTCACTGTCAATTGTATGTCTTTAGTTGAAAATACTCTGTGGGCATTATTAGTTCATTCATCCATGTACTGTGATGCTGTGGACAATGCTTTTGAAACCAGCTGTCTCACAAAGCTGTGTTTTTAGTAAAGTTTGGCTCTGGTAATTATACAGTAGTTACAAGTGTGCTTTATAAAGAGTTGACACCATCCACAATTGACATGAGTGCTGTACTTTTTACAGGCCTGTTGTGTTTGCATGTGTTAGGCTGGTTGGGTCCTGGCTTACAAGGCGTACCTGAATTACCCTAACATCTCTGAACTCTAAATGTGAATGAGTTTAGCTTTGCAGGTACTCAGACTGTGTTGGTTTGGTGTTTTTTTTTTGTTTTGTTTGTTAATTCCTAAACCTAAACAAGTGTTATTCTGTAGCTTGGTAAAGCAGCAGTGGCTACAGTATTTTGAGGGGCTGGATAGCCTTTATTCACCACATTACCTTTGACAGTACTGCTTTATCTCACATGAGTTCTTGCATTCTAAATTTTCTGGAAACAAAGTGTATCTAAAATATTGGCAGCATTTGCTATTGTGACTCATTGCTATGTTGCTGGGCTGTGCACTCTTCAAGTTTTTTCATCTTAAGTTATGTATAATGACATTTGTTTAGCAGATTTAATCTCTGTTAAGCATTCACTCATATAGCAGAAAGATGCTACAGAAAATGTATGCCTCTTCCTGATACTGCCCTAATTACATAATTAATACCAGACTCTGGTAAGCTTTACCAGCACTGTGACTCAGCCACTCCTTACAGTTGTGCGCTTCAGAGCAGGGATGATGAGAGCTGCCAACTTGTGTTAAAGCTAAATTTTGAAAGAAAAACATCTCAATAATTTGCAAAAGAAATTTTGCATCTTTTTTCATCTTTCTTCTGTACATAGAATTGCTTTCTTCATGAATCCTTTTCTACAGAAAGATACACTCATTGATTGTCTAATTGACCTCTTTGTATCCATGAGTGCAGTAGTTGTAGACTCTGGTTTGAGGGAACACCAGAAGACCTTTCTTTCCTCTTCTATTTTGAATATGTGACCTCTGTCCTTTAAGCAGTGTGACTGCCAGGTGCTATTACCATAAATTTTTCATAGTAGTAATCTCTACTAGTCTACGGTATTATCAGTGCTAGTGATTGATGTGAAACACCGCCAATGACATGAAGATGGTGTTTCATACTGCTTATGACCGGTAAGCTCATGCATAGAAGTATGAAGCATATTTTTCAATGGAAACCTTAAAGTTACAAGAAGCAAGTGCACTTCTGAGAGAGACAGATTTAATACAATTTAAGCCAGTCTTTCTGTCCTTGATTTTGGTTTTGGCTATTGAGCTGGGTACATAAATATATCCAGAGCACAGCCATTAAATTGCAGACTTCTACCTGGTTGAACCCTCTGGGAA